CGCGCGGGCGTTTATTGTAAGCCGAGGTTACTATTAGAAGCCAGATCTCCAATACATCATCGCATTTCACACTGGTGTCGGTCGACATGAATAATTAACCAGAGTGCAGCAACTACACACTCCCGCAATAAAAGAAACCTTAGACCTTTAGAAAGTTATTTTTTTTAATTCCCTGATTGGTCAGGGGATTTTCCCAGTCGAGGAATGAAATAGAAAGTGAGTAAAAAGGGATGAAGAAGAAACCAGGGAGATATTTGAGGCTGAGAGGACGGAGGGGGAGGGGGTGTGACCCCAGACTGCAACACTATTGGGTGGAGAAAATAGATCCACACTCAGTGAAGGCTCAGGCCGCACTAATCACTTCAACATGCAACTAGAAAATGCCAGTGGATTTATTGCTTTGAACAAATGACTGTCTGATTTTTGGTTAGTCCTCTTTCATTAGGAAGACCGAAGACTTCTAAATATAGGCGTGGGTCTGATGACTCATGACCAAAAACTCTGTGATGACTAACACTGCAGTCACATCAGGGTTCATTTATTTTGGTTCATTTTGCAAAAAAAAAAAAAGTGATTTAAAAAGATCATACTGATCCTGAGTCAGTGTTGAAGATAAATCTGTGCAGTATGTGATGGAAGTGGAACCAGAACCAGTGCCCACAGCCCCTGGAGTTTTACGGTCTTCTTGTGGCCCCATTCTCTGCGTCTCGCTCTGGGTCATGTGACCTGTACTCGGTGTAAACATGTCATCTGTTCTGTCAGTGTTACGTAAACCAGGCTCCTCTTCCATCTCTTTTTTTTTGTCCTGCAGGGAATGGCCTTCACCCTGGAGGAGCGCCAACAGTTGGGCATCCACGGTCTGCTGCCCCCATGCTTCCTGTCTCAGGAAGTGCAGGTCCTCCGTGTTATGAAGAGCTACGAAACACGCACCAATTCTTTAGACAAGTGAGTGGAATTACTGAGTGCAACACACACACACACACACACACACTGTCTATAAAGTGTTTTTTTCTTTGGCAGCTCTAGAGTTAAATCTTTTGGTCCAACCAGCCTTTGTAGCCCCTGTGTCAGTGAAGCAGCCTGATGCTACGACCTCGGCTGTTGGAAATAACCACCAGGTCTGTTCCTCTGCCTCAGGTACATCCTACTGATGACGCTGCAGGACAGGAATGAGAAACTCTTCTACCGTGTGCTGACCTCTGACATCGAGGAGTTCATGCCCATCGTCTACACTCCCACCGTGGGCCTGGCCTGTCAACAGTACGGACTGGCCTTCAGGAGACCACGGTGAGGAGGGTTCCACTTTGGTGTTGTTCTTGCATTAATAATGAAGTGGAGAATACTTTATAGCTGCTGCCCTACCAAGGCTCAAAGGCTTTTTTTAATCTCAAGACTCTACTGACTTTGATTTTGAAGCATTTTCACAAGTATTACACAGACATTAATGCACATTTATAGTAATTCTAATGTACATGAATGTTTGTAATATTTTACAAACTTTACAATTATTTTTAACTTTACTGTAACAAACTGTAATCTATTATTGGGATTTTAAAAACCAGATTTACAGACATGCAAAACACCCAAAATACTTTTAAAAAAACACAGATAATCGTTTAAATGTTGATCCTGCCTTGTGCAAGGGGGCAAAGCATTTTCTGCATTAAAATAAATTAAAATATATTTGTAAAAGCCACGTTCTCAGAAGTTTCAAGTCCCTAAAACTAGATCATCAAAGATTATCGTCATCGTCTCCTTTTCCAGTGGACTCTTCATCACCATCCATGACAGAGGCCACATCGCCACCATGCTGAACTCCTGGCCAGAGGAGAACATTAAGGTCAGTCCCGTTCAAGGAATAAGTAGAAGAATAGGAAAAAGAAATAGTCTTCACGGAGCTGATGTTCTGCTGTGTCTCTGTGAAGGCCATCGTGGTGACGGACGGTGAGCGGATCCTCGGCCTGGGTGACCTCGGCGGCTACGGGATGGGTATTCCAGTTGGAAAACTTGCTCTGTACACGGCCTGTGGGGGAGTGCAGCCGCAACAGTGTCTCCCTGTGCTGCTGGACGTCGGCACTGACAACCAGGTGAGCTGCTGGTCCCCTCGGGTCAGGGTTTCTGAATTCCTCTTCCAGTGTTTAGAGAACTGCTGAGACGACTTCAGATTTCAATCTAATATTTATAGAAGGTCATCTTTAAACGATTGATTGATTGATTGCTTGATTGAGTATTTTAATTTCGGGGCTCAGACACTGCTGAATGACCCTCTGTACATCGGCCTGAAGCACAAGAGAATCCGAGGGAAGGAGTACGACGAGCTGATTGATGAGTTCATGCAGGCGGTGACGGACAAGTGGGTGAAAACAAAACAAAAATAACATTAAGATAATGGTTTTATAAAGTGAGCAGTGACGTCTGACCGGTCAGTGTCCCCGCTGCAGGTACGGGATGAACTGTCTGATCCAATTTGAGGACTTTGCCAACAGTAACGCGTTCCGAATCCTCAACAAGTACAGGAATCGTTACTGCACCTTCAACGATGACATCCAAGGTACTGTGACGACAACCTTCCACTGAACGGTCTCTCCGACAGCAGCGTTTAAACTTGCTGAAGTTCCCTCTCGTTTGTCTGTCAGGCACGGCATCTGTAGCTGTGGCTGGAGTCTTGGCTGCTCTAAAGATCACGAAGAACCAACTGTTAGATCACACTTTTGTTTTCCAAGGAGCAGGGGAGGGAGGAAGGGCCGACGTTTCTCTGACCCAAAACTTAAATTGTTACAGAGTTAAATTCGTTGCTTCTTTTTTGAACCAGGCCGCCCTGGGGATCGCTCACCTGCTCATGATGGCCATGGCCAAACAAGGTGTCAGCAGAGAGGAAGCTGCAAAGAGGATCTGGATGGTGGACTCCAGAGGTCTCATTGTGAAGGTAAAGATGGTCTCAAGTGTTCTGGTACACAGGTCTGCTGCTCACACTGCATCACGCGCATGTGTTTACCCATTAACCCATTCAGGGAAGAGGCCACCTGAACCACGAGAAGGAGGAGTTTGCTCATGATCATCCACATCTGAAGACCCTGGAGGAGGTGGTCCAGACCATCAAACCCACTGCCATCATAGGTGAGTTCACACAGGGAAAAAAACAAACAATACCAGACATCCTGAAATAATCATTAGCCAATCATTCCATCATGTTCAAACATGTTAATTCAAAACTGTGAAAACAGAATGTCTTTAGTACTGTAGTTATCACATGTTCCACCAGGGGGACTCTAAGCCCACGTCGACTTGGGATCTCCCTGTTACTCATCAATTAAAGAATAAGACACTGACACTGGTCGTTGACATGTCCTTGAGGCTTTGAAAAACCAAAATAAAAGGCGTAAATCTGTTAAACAACTCTTTGTTTGCACAAACGAAAGACAAAATGGTGACTCCTAAGCCAGCCTTACTTAACTGATAGATAGCATGTAGCGTAATATGACACAAAGTATTTTAAAAAGCATTTTATTTTGGATTAAGGTGTTCTACAAAATACTTGTTTTATACTTTCTACTAGTGATTGATGCCTTTGCGCCTGCGCAAGAGGCCATTACTACTGACAAACCTTTTAGTTTAAATCCAACGTTACATTCATTTGATCGTCGTCGTATTAAAAAAGTGACAGCCCTGGTTTACTACGTTATGGTTAAGATCGTAGCTCTGATCCTGCTGTTTTTTTTCTGTGATGCGACACAAAGGCGTGGCTGCTATTGGAGGAGCGTTCACCGAGAAGATCATCAAAGACATGGCGTCCTTCAACGAGAGGCCGATCATCTTCGCTCTCAGTAATCCCACCAGTAAGGCCGAGTGCACAGCGGAGCAGTGCTACCAGCTCACGGAGGTAACGGCTAACAGCTAACATTTAGATTCAAAGATACTGAGGAAGCTGTCACAGAGGAAAACTTTATACTGATTAAAAAACAGGTTGCAATTTTAAGCTAGATTTTTTTTTATTGTCCACTGTTAGCATAACTTAATTCTCCTCATTTTTAGCTAAATTGTAGCTATTTCTGCACTAGCTCTTAATTATCTATTTATTAGAACCATTTTTTTCTCATTTTCTATTTGTTTGTTGGTTAACTTTTGGCTACTTTAGCAATTGACTACTTTTTTATAGTTTGGCAACATTTTTTGCAAGTTCGTGGCTGAATTGTTGTTTTCCTCTGACAAATTCAGAGATACTTTATGGGTAAACCTCTACCTAGTCATGTTTAGTTATCTTGGGCAATTGTGGCTAGTTAGTTTTAAGCTAATTTGTACAATTAGTCTAAGTCAGCCTGTACCCTGAGAAACAAAGATTATTCACATTTTTACCTTTCAGTAGTTCTGAAGTAAATGTTCTAGAGCTGCCGTGCCTGTCAGCATCATCATCATCATCATCATCATTCCTATGATCAGGGCCGAGGCATCTTTGCCAGCGGAAGTCCATTCGACAAGGTGACGCTGGCCGATGGTCGTACCTTCTACCCCGGACAGGGAAACAACGCCTACGTGTTCCCAGGAGTGGCTCTGGGTGTCATCGCCTGTGGTGTGCGCCACATATCTGATGATGTCTTCCTCACCACTGCAGAGGTGGTTCATTCACCCACTCATATATAATTATACAGTATACGACACAGTACTGTAGCGTACAGATGTGGACTAATGGATGACAACAGTCTGATGTGTGTCGGTCGAGTCGGTGGCAGTAAACCCTCTGTCTTGTCTGCCAGGCCATCGCTGACATGGTAACAGAAGAGAACCTGGCTGAGGGCAGACTTTATCCTCCTCTCAGCACCATCAGAGAAGTGTCCCTCAAGATAGCAGTGAAGGTATGTGACCTTTGGGGAAAAACTACAGTTATATTCCTAGATATTAGTTTTAAAATACGAACAAAGTAGCAACAATTTCTGTTAAATATGTGCTGTGTTTTGTTGTCTATGACTTTTTTCGCAATACAGTATAATTTGCTATTACAAAAGAATAAAAAACTCAAATAGCGTAAAGACTTTTAAATTATGTCTGAACCGACATTTCTTTATTTATACAGTGGAACCTGTCAGTCCACTTATCTGGACGTTTGTCGTTAACGTTTCAAAGCTGAGTGTGTATTTGCTGCACATTCACCTTTTTTTCCCCTTTTCTCTCAGTTGGTCAACTATGCCTACAAACACAACATGGCTTCAGTTTACCCCGAGCCCAAAGACAAGGAGGCGTTTGTTCTGTCCCACGTCTACAGTCCTGATTACGACTCCTTCACTCTGGACACTTACACCTGGCCACAGGACGCCATGAACGTCCAGGTCGTCTGATCTCGACCACCGACTAAACTGTATTTAGCCGTGACATCACGCACAGTCTCTGCTTTGCCTTGGTATATACAGTTTATATACGCTTATATATACGTTGTTAATGATTCTTTTCAGGGTTTTGGTTGATTGATATTTTTCTTTTATTGTTTTTACTGCTTATCAGGAATTTAGTGTCCCTGCTGCTAGGCAGAAACACTGTGCCGTGGGTAAGAGTTGGGGACCTCTAATGGTGAGATGGCAGATTGTACTGTAAGAATTGGTTGACCTCTTGTCACCTCTCCTTGTAGAAACCCCTAAGTAAACCCCTTGCGATCCTTCAAATTTGACTGGATTTTGAATTGATTTTCTTGTACGAGAAAATACAAAATTAGGTATAAGAATAAGAATTAAAACATAATTAGGATAAATGAGAAACATTTTAAGTGGTTCTGTGGATCAAGGGTATGTACCGTACTACAGCTGTGGCCACTAGATGTTGCTGAATCCTACACAGTGTAACTTTGCAGGACCTTAGGTTCTCATGCATTAGGCCTGTGTCCGACTCCAAACCAACTGTAAACCCTTCACATGGGCTCTTCAATGGTTTTCTCTGTCATTCTCCAGAGCTCTGGTCATACTGCACAGCTATTTCTACCCTTTCACTGTCTTTACGACAGCATAACGATCCTCACAAGCACGTCCTCAGTTAATCCACAAAGGTGGCTGTGTTGGGTTCATATGTGGTGACAAAGGAATTCTGTAAGGAGTGGTGTCCATGCTGCAGTGATTTAATCTCTTAAACATGCAGAGACAGATGGTTCTTTCAGACTAAAATAGACCATCGTGGCTTCTGAAAACCCACCACTCTGTCAGAACGTCTGCCTTTCTATGACACATTCATAAAAAGGCAGGAAGCTGTCGTAATAATGACCATTAAACTGATTATTATTTAATTTTTTTTAAAATCAAAGAATAATGAAGATAAATCAAATCAAAATACTACTGCTACCAGACTGAGGTGAAGGAGATCACTGCCTTTTTTTTTTTTTTTTTTTTTAAGGTTGTCCAGATGTTAAATGCTCTAAAAATCTGTTTATTTAGTCCATGAAACCTGCCTGTGTTCAAATGACAACATCTAAAGATACAAGCTTCTTAAATATTTCTGTTGGAGCACATTTTGTGACGTCAGTTTACAGAACGCAGAATAATGGCAAAAAAATCTTGCACTGCGTCTGCTGCTTAACCAAGACAAAAACATTTGACTCTGACTCCCGTGTTCAGTCACTGGACTACAGCACTGCAGTCTGCAACTGCTCTACCCCCGCCCTCCCCCCCGCACTGAAAAACACTCCAGTTTCTGTCTGACTGTCTCAGTTTGCTCTGACAGAACCACCTCGACTTCAACAGTATATGTTCAGAGGTCGGTGAATGGTTTTTTTTCTCCTTCATTAGGACACAGTGCTGTGCGTGTTTTGCTTTAGTTTTGTACCCAGCTCTGCCTCATGTTGTATTTTTGCCAAAGTTTTTAACTGTATCTGACCTTTGACATCCCTGAGAGCACCATCGTCAGCAGACTCAGAAGAAGTTTTCAAAGGGAAAATAAACTTTTTAAATAAATGTCTGCTACAGTGTTAGTGTTTTTACTTTTTAACAGCTCACATTTCCGGTGTAGAAAGTCGTTTGCACGAGAGCGCCCGTTGCAAGTGAGTACACATTACATTTATAGTGTGCTGGATACATTTGTATCAAAGTGCAAATTAACGCAGATTGAAAAACAAAGTATTCTTTCAAGGTACTGGTCCCTGACCAGGTGTTTGTTTTGTTAGCAGCACAACCAGGTCAGGTTTAACGCAGTCTTTTATTGAAGCAAACAGGCTCACTTCAGTTAGCACAGGCTGACAAGTAATCAGGAAACAACAGGCAGAAGAATGGTGGGCTTACCAGGGCAGCGATAAGGCCAAAGGTCAAGTGCTTGGAAAGTCTGCATGGGAGTGATAACAATTTGGCAACGACTGAAAGGAGTGGAGCTGTATATATACTGGGTGGAGCAGGTGGAAGCGGTGGTGCTGATTAGGGGGCGGGGCTGCATCCACAGGTCCTCAGTCTTGGCTCCAGCCACGGTGGAGGGACAAGGTGTCCGTCAGTGCTGCCTGCAGCTCCACCCTCCCTTTTTGACTCCATCAAACTTTAACACTTTTAAAATAATAAAAACTGCCACAGTCCTAACAGTGGGAGCATTAGTCAGTAGTAGGCACGTTATTGCTTCACATCGTGTTGAACTTGATCATGTGACAACAGTTTCATCGTGTCATTCAAGTCGCTGGGTCATGATATCAAGAAAGAGGTAGACAAAAAAAAACACAAACACCGTGGAGGAGTGATGTATGTGTGAACAATACTGTCACCGAGCGATTGTTATAGATACCGTATGATATACATTGTCGCTTCCACTCAGCTTTGTCGACTTCGTATGAGTCTTTTCCATCGATTATTTTCAATTTGTCCAAGTACTAGACACTGTAATTGTGTCCAGTTAATCTCTACACAACTATTTCGTCTGATCTCCCCCCAGCGATTTAATATTCTTGTCTTTTGTTGACATTATCGATTGCTTACATCTACCTGTTCGCCATACAACATAGCCGTCGGCGCGATGCATCGTGGGTAATGATTGGAAAAGCATCTATACTAATCCTAAACCTGGGGTTGACGAGTTTGTTCTTTCTCACAGTAACAAACTGGGAGGTGAGGCTCAGAGATATGCAGCTCATTTCAGAAAGACAACTGTGTCACAGCTGTCGTCAAAGACAACTGTCAGAAACTGGTTCCTGGTTCCAGCACTCATAGTGCCCTGTCAGCACGTCGACGACCGCACGGCAGTGAACCTCAACTAACTCACTATGACACAACACACACACGTCAGTTATACTTTTGGCTTCTTACTTTCTTTTTACCCCATTCATTCAGATTGTGCAGTTTGTCCAGTTTTACCCCTGGTGGGTTTTGTTGTTTTTGTTTTTTTAACTGTGTTAAAATAGTGTTTTGTTTGTTACCAAGATCTTTGCTGTTTCTGGACAAATGTCAGATTTGTGGTAACCAAACTGAAACTGTAAGAGGCAAAAGAACATCTTCAGAACTGAGGACAACGATGGACGTTTGGCTTCACACCGTCAGTCACTGTCAGTGTCCCTGTCTGTTCCTACTGGGGTTTTTTCTTCACTGGGCAAACGTAGGACAGAAACATGTCTATCATATTCTTCACAATGGCCCGCGGTGGGTGGAGATTGTGGGGGAGGTGGTGAGCTGATGTCATTTGCCAGGCGTCCACAAACAGAACCTTCATGCCCTTGAACATGGATCTCAGCACCTGGTCCAGCTGCAGGGAGAACCAGTCACTGTTATACAGACTCACCTCCTGGTCCAAGGCCTGCAGGTTGGCCGAGCGGATCACGACCAGCGTCCCTGGCGCTCTATCCAGCAGTCGCAGCACCGCGCGCCGAATGTGGCGTAGACGCCGTATGTAAACCTCAACGGGAAAGGTGCTGAAGTGGGACCAGACGCTGATGACCACCACTGTGTTGGGACCTCCTGTGAGACCGTTCAGCTCGTTAGACACATATCTCAACTCGCTGGACATGACGGTGGAGAAGCGGATGGGCGGGCCGTGGCAGCGGTACTTCAGGAGAATATTGTGCGTGCTGTCCACGGCCATGTAGGGCCCGACGTTTCTAGGACTCCGTAGGTTGAACTCCTTTAACTCTATAAAGAGTGGAATAAAAGAGATTAAAGGAAGTAAGAACGCCCAGGTCCGTTCGCTGACTCTTTTTGACTTCATACAAATTCAATCTGACCTGGTACAAAAGTGATGAGATACTCAAACCACTGCCTGACGGTGGAGTCTCCGTACATATAGATAATCCTGTTCCTCAAGCACTGTGCGATGGCAGACGACTGATTGAACTGCCTCGTCTTAACGCCACCTCGTGGCCTCCACACGTCCTCGTAGTAATAACCTGACAGCACCGCCGTAACAGGGTCAGTTTTTACCCTGCTGTTCTGCGTCTCCACTTTGTCTGACAGGTAAGAAAAAAAAGAAAAAAAAAAGAATAATATGATTAACTAATATGACCAAAGGAAAATAACATACCAACTCCAGTGGGGCCCCGAGATACGAGTTTAATCCGTTCCACAACAGCACTCGTGTCTATCCACTCATATCTAGATCCAATTTTCCCCATTAAAAATAACTAAAAACCAATTAATTTGTTCCAGCCCCCCAGAAATATACTACTAATTAATTAAATTAAAAACCTCCATCTACACATCAAAAACCTAGATATAAACAAATACAGTATATTGATAAAATAATAATAATTAATAAAAACATTTTATATTATTTTTATAAAAATGGGTAAAATAACCCATAAGTATTTTCTCGTATTACGAAAAGGTCGCTCACTCGTAACTTGGAAAACTCGTATTTCGGGGAGCTCGTATCTTGGAGCTGCACTGTCTATTGTTTCCTGTAAGTGGACGCTACCTTCCTGTGAAGGCAGCACTGTGATCCGGTCAGGTCCTGAGGCGAGTATGTGAACTTTAAGGTTAACACCGCTAGGAACAAAACAACCAAAAGGAAAAGAGGTATTATTAATAATAATAATAATAATAATAATAATAATAATAATAATAATAAATTAAAAAAAGTAATAATAACCATTACTGTTGTCATAATTATTACTGAGTACATATTTACTATTATTAAAAGACAACTCAGACATTTTGAAGCATCTGAAGTCTAATAGCTATCTTGGAGCTAACCTTTAGCTATTATCCAGTCTTAATTTTTTTTAAGGTCTTTGCAAGAAATAACAAACAAACAAAAACAATAAAAATCTGCTCCAGTGGGTTTTTTGGTCAACTTTCCTCTTGGTAGATTCTTGAAAAAGTTCAACTTGAAATTTACCATGAAAACTGACAATAAGATGCACAGAGGTGATGCGTACAGACCTCTGGAACAGCAGCGCCTCCTTGTTGGTGATGAGCTGTTTCAGGTAGCCTCCTTTAGCGTGGCTGATCCTCGTGTCGCAGCTGAGCTTCTTGGGCTTGTAGCAGTACCAGGGCTCGCCTGTGTAAAGGTCTGTGAAGTTACACAGAGGCTGCTGGTCTGGAGGCAGGCACATGTTGCACACAGTGGTCTCAACCATGTGCCCCACTTGGAACTGACTTTGGAAATACACCCGATCGGGTCGCTGTTCCCTCAGGCGCTGCAGCACGGCTACTGCCTCACTGGAGTGCACCATCGTGATCTCCACCTGCGCAGATCCCGTCCAGAAGAGAGGGAACAGGGCGGAGTAACGTCCATTTCTGTTGTCCACCACTGCCCCTGCCACAGCGGCACCAAGCTGTGGAGAATGCAGCCTGGCCAAAAGGAAATCTCCACCGTGGTTCTTAGGACGACCGTGGAAGTCGTACATTTGGACCAACACCTCCAGCTGGCCCCCCACGTACCACGTCCTACCTTCTTCCGTGGGCAGGATGGTGAACATACTGTGCACTGGGTCACTTGTCAGGTACAGGGCAACTGGTTTGGAGCTAGGCAGCGGTCCGGGCCAGGCAATAGAGTCCAACAGGTGGCGCTCCTCCAGTTCATCTTCTGGGGAGGGTTTTTGTCCCAGGTGAGTGCAGAAGGTGCGGTTGTGATGAAATGTAGGGAGGCTGAGTGGGAGGATGGAGGTTTGAATCCTGCTCTGCAGCTGTTGCAGGGCTGAAATGGTGTGACAGTTCCAGCTCTGAGGGAAAGGAGTTTGAACATTAACATCATGTAGGAGACAGAAGCCTTAACTGTTAGTAGGGATGTCCCATATTATCAACCGATATTAGCATAATTATGTAATATCTGTAAGAATCGTTACTGCCTTTTCCTCCGACATTGAAAACCCGATAACACGATGCCTGGGTTTTGCGTCAATGACGTGTGCTCTTAAAATAGTTAACTGCCCCAGCTATAGACCAGTCAGATACCTCAGTACTCTGAAGAACTCCTTACTCCTCCTCCCGTAACTGTAATTGTTAACTCCTTTATAACACATGAACAGAACATTATGAATGTAGTAGTTCTATTTGGGGGAGGGAGGTGAAAATATCAGTTGATATCAATATCGGCAAAAACTTAATATCGGACATCCCTAACTGTTAGCGGTTGAATCATGAACATGTGTTGATGACAGTTCATCACCTCCAGAGTTTCCATGTTGTTGAGCAGGAAGACGAGTCCAAATAGGCTGAGGAACAGAAATATGAGGATACATTTGGACCGGTTTCGACACACAGTGACTCTCATGATCGCCCTTCGTTCATCCTCTTCCCTCATCGCTGTTACCGCAGCAATCATGATGTCACCTCAGTGCTCTGACATTGACAAGGAAAAGACACAGACAAATAAGCACCAATTCAACCCACTCAAGAACTGTATCATGAATCATATGAAGTCATTCTAACAATAAAACCCTGAGTAGACACAGACTCTGCTCACCTTGGTGATGGGTTCAAAGCAGAGGCTCAGTTCCGTTGTATTCCTGTGTTACAATGACAATAAAGACTATAATCCATCAATCAATCAATAATAGATGGTTTTCCGATAATCGTTATTACCCAGGATGCATCGCGCCGCTGGAGCTATAATAATAATAATATTTATTGTTATTAATATTTCTGGGAAACAAACCAGGAACTCTCAGCTCACTGCTTGCGAGGCGACATGCTAAATGCTACACTAGCGGAACACATGACAAAGAGAAAGTGCAAAAAGCCACAAAAGCCAAGACACCTGCTGACATCTATATGTAATTACAGAGCAATCCTTCCACTTATCAGAGCCAATTATATCAGCTGCTTCAGTCCCAGCTGATGACATGGTTGTCAGCATGCGTCACTGGTAGACTTCATATAAGGAATATGAAGGAAGGATGAATGGGAAAATGTAGGAAGACTTTCTTGATACAAATCTGCTGCCATCTACCAGGATGATGAAGATGAAACGACGGTTGACAACCAAGGAAACACTCAGTTGTATTTCAGTCCAGCCAATCACCTGACTTGAATGTAATAGAGAAGCGTTCATAATAAAGGCCCACGGGACTTTGAAGACTATGAAGACTGTTTGTGTGAAAGAATGGACCGAAATCACACCTGAGAAATGAATGCAACTCATTTCTCCATACACTAAGCTGTCATTACCAACAAACGCTTCTGTTGCCACAGATATGGAAGGGAGCACAAACAGCAGCACAAACAGAGCACAGCAGTTAGCACATCTAGAGGATAGGATAAAAGAAATAACAGGCGTGAATCATCGAAACAGCAAATACACCAAACGTTCCCATCTTGTTTCATATATTTCACAGGTGATGTCTGACGCTAGCAGTGAAGCTGAACTACCTAATACAACAATTCTTCTTACGCATAACGGTATCCATTTCTCCCAGTGGAGGAGGAGGAGACCGGAGAGAGCCAAAAAGGAAGCCGCAATGTGCATCCGCGGCCGAACATCAGCTACTGTGGACCGCACGGGAGGGGGGAATGTGGGGGAATAGGAAAGAGAAATACTGCTGGAAGCTGGGCATTAAGTGAGGTCGTAGGGTAGAATCAGAGTGATGTAGATGTCTCATTGCGACCTCTAGTGGTGTTCCCTGGTGTGACCGTTGCTTTTTTAAAAACTATCAGTAGGGAGCAATGTTGACCTATATTTTTGTGAGACCTTGAGTCGTGTAGAGGCAAACTTGCCATGGCCGTTTGGCTAATTCGACAATTATTTGATTTAAAAAACATTTTCACAGTTTTTTGAAACATTTCTGTGCAAACATTAAACAGTACTTCAGTTTTGACTTTTTTAACCATCAACTTTTGTGACTTTTAACAGACTTTTTGGTATTTGCTTTATTATTATTCATTGGGTTCTATTTCTAGAAACATTTTCTAACCTTTAATATGTGTTTATCTTTGCTTACACTTTAGCTAACTTAATGGTTCTTTTTTAAGACTGTTTAGTAATTTTCTGATACACTATCAGGCCATATTACAACAAATAAAATATTTAGTGAATATTTTGTTAATTTAGTAAAATTTCCTTTTTTTTACTCAGGGCAGGCCTGTTTAGTTGTATTGTAGGGCTGCTTTTGTATATTTGCTTTTAAGGTGTTGCATTAATGTTTAGAGCATTAAATCAACGGAGATTATTTTTAGCTGTCATTTCCCATTAATGTATTGGCTAATGTTGGTTGCTTCAGGAAATGCAGAGTCTAAAAACTGACCATCACTATGCTGACTAATGCTGCTGGAGTTGTTGATGAAGGAACACGCTGCAAATGATTCTTCTCCAACTGGTTGTTGAGAAATGTAAAGTATTCCTGTCTTATGCTTAGCTTTTGTAAGGGTAATTCATTTTTGTTCACTTAGCTTCTGCCATTGATTACATCAGTTGTGTCCTTCGTTTCAGCTGTGCTTTTTTGCATCACTGATGTTACATGGAAACCGACAGTATTAGGAAATTCTGACTCTTTAGTCACTGTAGTAACAACTTAAGTTCATTTGAATTTCAATTCCTAGTTTCATTTTTTTAACAAACAAGCAAACAACACTGAGTTTTGTAGAGGGAGATTTATTGTGCAATTATAGATTTTAAACCAACATTGAACAAATATTTTTCCTCATTCTGACGAAGCATCAGGAAGAAAACATGTACAACAATGCTCGTCACCACCGATATGAAATTCCATAAAACCATTCCCTCTGGACCTTTGTCCTTTCAAACGCTTTTTTAAACAGGAATCTTCAACCTTTCAATGCACCTGCATCTAAGAAAAGTCAAATATGTGAAAACATCAATAAAACAAATTAAAGAAATATTGACAACAAAAAAAAAAAGTTAAGAAATAATTTTAATGGCACAACAAAAGTAGAACTTCTCATGTCGAGGCTAATATTTGGACAAATAAAAGTGAAGTATTTCTCAATATGAAACCAACATCATGTTCCTAATTTTCTTCTTCACTCAGAACACAATTTCTGTTTTCACAGCACAGCCTGGTTTAATATTCCTCTCCTTCTTCATCCTCTTCAAATGAGTCAAGGCCCACCTCTTCATAATCTTTCTCCAGAGCAGCCATATCTTCTCTGGCCTCTGAGAACTCTCCCTCTTCCATACCCTCTCCAACGTACCAGTGGACGAAGGCCCTCTTGGCGTACATGAGGTCAAACTTGTGGTCCAGACGAGCCCAGGCCTCTGCGATGGCCGTGGTGTTGCTCAGCATACACACGGCTCTCTGCACCTTGGCCAGATCGCCACCAGGAACCACAGTCGGAGGCTGGTAGTTGATGCCGACCTTGAAACCAGTCGGGCACCAGTCCACAAACTGGATGCTGCGTTTGGTCTTGATGGCCGCGATGGCGGTGTTGACGTCTTTGGGCACTACGTCACCACGGTACAGAAGGCAGCAGGCCATGTATTTGCCGTGACGAGGATCGCACTTCACCATCTGATTGGCCGGCTCGAAGCAGGCGTTGGCGATGTCAGCGACTGACAGCTGCTCGTGGTAGGCCTTCTCGGCTGAGAGGACGGGGGCGTAGGTTGCCAGAGGGAAGTGGATGCGAGGGTAGGGCACCAAGTTGGTCTGGAACTCTGTCAGGTCGACGTTCAGGGCGCCGTCGAAACGAAGCGAGGCTGTGATCGAAGACACGATCTGGCTGATCAGGCGGTTGAGGTTAGTGTAGGACGGGCGCTCAATGTCGAGGTTTCTGCGGCAGATGTCGTAGATGGCTTCGTTGTCGACCATGAAGGCGCAGTCGGAGTGCTCCAGCGTGGTGTGGGTGGTCAGGATGGAGTTGTAGGGCTCCACGACTGCGGTGGAAACCTGGGGGGCTGGATAAATGGCAAACTCCAGCTTTGACTTTTTGCCAAAATCAACAGAGAGTCTCTCCATTAACAGAGATGTGAAACCAGAGCCCGTGCCTCCACCGAAGGAGTGGAAGACCAAGAATCCTTGCAGACCACAGCACTGATCGGCCTGGAACACAGAACAGAAGACCGTGAAAATCCAGCAACAACAGCTGCACAGCCGTAACAAAAACATACAGACCAAAGGGATTACACTCTGAACTCAAATTCAACACTTGTGATTGAGTAACGGCTCCATCTGCCTCTCCTCACTCAGTTATCTCATCTTTGACAATAGTATGAATCCAGAACAATTGTATTCTATGACCTCTTCCTGTTGCTACTGATCCCAATCTTTAGAGTTCTTAAAAAATGGAAGTTTTATTTTGTGACTAGCCTCAGTGATAAGTGGGTGTCTTTGAGCTAATGTTATCCTCAACATGTCTTCTGACAGGGCTGTTGCAGAAATATGAAACCTCTCACAAAACCTGTTGCTACTTGAAACATCATGCAGGCATGTTCTTCATTGTGTAACATATAGGATTTCTTAAATCTGTTTAGGCAGGGCCGTGAAATATCAGCCCTAATCCATGACAGCCCCATAGTCTGTGTCTCAGTGCTGCTGCAGGCTCTGGAAAATTGGGCACTTAATACGCAGCGACTCCTGACTGACCGTGGGTTAAATGTGTATGTGTCTGTGTGTGAATGGTTCTTTGTCTTCATCTATTGGTCCTGTGATAGGCTCCGTTGAAGTGTATTTTTTTTCCTTTCTCTCTTTTGGAATATGATCAATAAAGTTAAAGCCTTACCAGTTTGCGGATCCTGTCCAGGACTGAGTCGATGATTTCTTTGCCAATAGTGTAGTGACCACGGGCGTAATTATTAGCCGCGTCCTCCTTTCCTGAGATCAGCTGCTCAGGGTGAAAGAGCTGACGGTACGTTCCTGTGCGAACCTCATCTGCAAAAGTAAAGGAAGGTGATGATATCTGTGAGGACTTGGCCTTGTGCCGACACGGATTTTAAATGAGCCAGACATGAGGCCTGTTGCAGTCAAAGACCCACGTTACTTCTCACTTACCTATGACAGTTGGCTCCAGGTCGACAAAAATGGCTCTGGGGACATATTTCCCAGCCCCAGTCTCACTGAAGAAGGTGGTGAAGGAGTCGTCGTGACCTCCCACAGCCTTTTGGATGGGCATCTGTCCATCAGGCTGGATGCCATGCTCCAGACAGTACAGCTCCCAGCAGGTGTTGCCCATCTGGACACCAGCCTGGCCTACGTGGACAGAGATGCATTCACGCTGCAGGTGGAAAGGGAGAAAAGTTGATGTTTTTTTTTATTCAAATCTTCCACCAGGTGGAGGCAAAGGCGTGTTTAGTGGGAAACCAGATTTAGACCAGCTGTCCCTGGATTTTATGAGTCTGTCAATGTGCACCTCTCATGAACTAAAATGGCAGACTGGTGGTAGATAACAGCCAAGAGAGAAGGCAACGACCTGTCTGTCAGACCAGTTCTGTCCTCAAACTACTAACAGATGGTTAAAGTGAGATAAGATTAAAAAAAAAAAAGTTAAAACCAAACTCTGGTTTGCCAAACTTGTGTCTTTGCTCACTACTAGGTGAAGCAATACAATCTGTACATTTCCATTTAGGCAACATGTCTGTTTGCTATTTTTACCCCTTCCCCCTTGCACTTTGACCCTTCAGTGGGAACAAACAGATGGGGGTAAAGGCATAACTGCAGCAGAAGGAAACGCATTAGAGCGAGTTAAGTCTGTTGAATGTTGTTAGGTGGGATTCTCTGCGGTTCAACAGAACACCATTGCGCCACTGTCTTGAGAGAAACTGTGACCCTGACCCCAATACACCCCAACCACAACATCCTGGTTTAGAAGGCTTCTGTGTTGTGGCTATTTTGGGTTCCTCATGTTAACCTGACACCGAGCAGTGAAGGCTGACTGGCCGTATGAGTAAACAGGGTCAAGTCATTCACCAAAATAGTGGTTGCTCCCTGGCAGACATTCTATCTTGTTATGTGGAAATTCAACATTAAGGCCCAAAGAGAGACTCTAATGGAAACTTTCTCCTGCTAGACAAATGATTTTAGTTTCTGCGACACAAAGGAAGTAAATGACAAAATCCAAGGCTGAACAACTACTGCA